TAGCAGCACAAGTAGGCAGCGATTCTAGCCGTAAATACATACAGTTAAAATTACCATGTACAGTACATAGAAGGAAAATCAAAGGGATTGGAGAAACAGACTTGCGAGTAGCGTAAGTTCAGAAGTCTCTGGATTAGAGGAGTTACCTTAATTCGTTTCTATTGTGTAGTTTACCAATCTTAGCAGTTAATCGCGTCCCCATTTTCCATACTTTAGGTTAATATGTGGAAGACATTGATTCAGAATCTAGGATAATAACTGTAAAATCATTGACATTGACATTGATATTTGATGTCTTATGGGGAAATTTTTGATTAGGGTAGGTTCATACCCTTTGAACTTTGTTGTAGGCAGCATTTGTACAGTTTGTTGATAAACAATTTCATTTCGGTTGAAAGCTTGTTTGTTGATTAGTGTGTGCCTGTTTATTTTTTCACACAGACTCAGTTTTAGACGCCCGCTTAGCTTTCGATTCTTCTCCCTTTTGATGAGAACCCACTCCGAATGGTTTGAAAGAATTTTAAAGTCCATGTTACTCGCTTTGGAAGATTAGGGTGCAGGTGGTTTGCGTTTGTGTTTTCTGTTTTGAGAGACTGTTTCGAATTATAGAAAACGTGTTTGATTTATCATTTTGAAAAATGGTTTTTCAAAACAGAAAATTAGAGAATGTGTTTGGTTTAAAAATTTTAGAAATTGTTTTATGACATTCATTCAATTAATTTGATTATTTAGTAAAACATAATAATTTTAAGCCAATACATTATCAAATAACATATATTTTAAACTTGGTAAATTAATTATTTTTTCCTGCTACAAAAATAAAATAATAAATAATAAATGTTAAGAAATTGTTTTATGACATTTATTCAACTAATTTGATTATTTAGTAAAACATAATAGTTTTAAGTTAATACATTATCAGAGAATATATATTTTAAATTTGGTGAATTTACTTTTTTTTTTTTTGCTACAAAAATAAAATAATAAATAATAATTGTTAAGAAATTATTTTATGACATTTATTCAACTAATTTGATTATTTAGTAAAACATAATAATTTTAAATTAATACATTATTAGAGAATATATATTTTAAATTTGGTGAATTTACTATTTTTACTTACTACAAAAATAAAATAATAAATAATAAATGTTAAGACATTGTTTTATAACATTTATTCAACTAATTTGAGTAAAACATAATAATTTTTAAGCCAATATATTACTAGATAATATAATTTTTAAACTTGGTGAATTTATCATTTTAAAAGTACTGTTGAACATCCCTAAAAATATATATATATAATAATAATAAAATAAAATTCGAAAACTACGTGTTTTGAGTGTTTTCGGTGTTTTGGGTTTTTTAATTGAAAATGCCCAAAATGATTTTTCAATTATAATTTTTTCCTTGTTTTCGGAAACGAGTGACCAAACATATTTTGAGCATTTTCAAAAGCTAAAAATAGAAAACGGCGAAGGGAACGCCCCCTTAATTTCTTTGACTGTTTTGAATGACATATAGCCCGTCTTTTTGAGATTTTGTGATCTTCAAATCTTATTTTTTGGGTGAAGAGGTCAGACACTTCGGGACAGAATGATTTTATTTTTATTTTTTCTTTTTCATCTTTAAATTAGTTGTCTTTATTTTATTTGATTTATTTTTAAATGCAAATGAAGAGTGGAAAGACAGTGCAATTGACCAACACAACTTCATTTGCACCATTTCTACATCTATAAATAGGACCTTATGAACATGATTTTGGGTACACCAATTACATTGAGCATTCATTCTCCTCTTGCAATTCTTTTTTTCTAATTCCATAGCATTTTCATGCATTTCCTTGGTAGAGAGGAAATTCCGTTCAAGTCTGTTGGTCGAAGTCATTTGGAGTGCTCCTATGGCTTGACGTAGTCGTTGTATTTTGGGAGATGATTGCTACGGTGCTCACGATGAATAACACTTGTCTCCCAAGATACAATGAATTCAAAATTTGTGGTAGCAGCACTTCAAACCACAAGAAATTGATGAACTTTTGACAGAATTTCCTCTCTACAAAGAAAATATATGAAATGCTATGGAATTAAAAAGGAGAGAATTGCAAGAGGAAAATAAATGCTCAATGCAATTGGTGTACTCAAAACCATGTCCATAGGGTCCTATTTATAAATGTAGAAAGGGTGCAAATGAAGTAGTGTGGGCCAAAATATGCATCCTTTCGAGAAGTTGCAACACTTGGCAAAAACCTGCATCCTTTCGAAAAGTTACAACACTTCATTTCTTCCAACTTTGGCCCGCAATTTCTCATTCATCTGGAATTGGTTTTGAGATTCCAAATATACCACGACGATCTACTCGACGAGTAGAATAAGTTGATCTATTTACTTTTATAATTTGACCATTGGATCAAGTCCGAATATTTTGGTCGAAGTTGACATGTAATCACACCTTTTCATTTTACAATTTTTGATTAATTATTTGAATCAATTCCTACATAATGTATGTATGGTAATTATTCGTGCACTCTCCCAAAGAGCACAAGATGAAAGAAAAGATGACTCAAACTAAGGTTCCAAATGTGGTCAATTGGTGGTCCGACATTTGACAGTTCTAATCGTAACCACGGTGATATTGATCTTCTAAGCTATACGAAAACTTCGAATATTCGTGGGAGTGTCTATGCAAGTCTTAAAAAGATTATCTTTATATTTTTCGAATCCATGCTTTACCTCCTTTTTTATCAAAATTTATTTTCAACCATGCATTTTTTTATGAAATAATTTTACATGTAAATCCAAAACATTTCTTTACTTTTTTAATCACGTCTCCAAAAATATCCATTAGAAAACTCACTTTTTTCAAAAAAAAAAAAAAAAAAGGTTGAAAGGATGATTCACCTTTTCATAGAACTTATAAGTTGTAAAAATGTAACAAAGAATATTAGGCACACAAGTGCAATAATGAACCAAAGTTGAAGACCTTCACTATAATTAAAATGTGATATAGAAATAAAATTTAGTGCAAATAGATATAAATTCTATTTCTGGAGGTGCGTCAATGTCACAACAGTTATTTATATTTGATTACTTTGCAAACGATTTATTAATAATAAGATTGAGGGTAAATAGAGGGTCTATTTGCTGTAGATTTTTTAGAATAAATTTTGTTAAAAATGATTGCTTCGGAGAATGTATGATTAAAAAGTAAGAAAATATTATGGATTAATATGTAAAATAATTTTATCTGAAGAATGTGTAGTTGAAAAATAATTTTTTTTTTTTTTAAATCTATACCAAATCAGGACTAAAATGTTAGAACTTCCTAAGTCTTGAATTCTTCGAAGAATCAAACCCAATATCTTTGCTTTTGGGTTGAGATGTTCTAATATATGTTAAGGGTGAAAATGATAGTATAAAGTATTTAAATTTATTAGAAATATCTTCTCTTTCAATGTTATGAGTTGAGGTAGTCGATAATGAAATTGTAGATGAATGCAAGCATAATGCTAGAACGTATTTTAAAATATTACTATGTATTAAATATTTTAATAAATTTAAATTAAATACAATGTGCATGAAGAGAAAATTAGTGTAAGACCTACACAAAAACATGTTTAGTTTAGCTTGTAATCAAGTCAAACCTTCTTAAAGATATAAAAGCTTTTTATTTATATTCTCATTTTTTAAATTAAAAAAAAAAACTCATATAAACGATAGAATAATGCTTGTGATAAATCGAGGTGTCCAACGGGGTGTCCAAATTGGACACCTGGCGCCTCGATATTGGCCGAGGTGCCTATGGGCCCTGGCATGACAGGCGCCTCGACATTGCTAGGTGTTCATTTTGGACACCGCATTGGATACCATAATTTACCCATAGCATGATTGTAAACGGTAAAATAGTAATTATCGTTAAAAACTTAAAACAGAGAATTTACTTACGTCAACTCCGTTCAATAAATAAATTGGGAAACTTTAATATTATCTAATTACTAATAAATTTACTTTTAAGAAATTTTTATGCAAGAAAAACAAAAGAGAAGGAACATCCTAGCAAAACCAGGAAATTATTGGGTCCAACTGAACCGACCCGGTCCAAGCCCAGAAGATTTTTACATATAAATTGAGTAATTAGGATGAACAAGAACCCTAATTTGTCTACACTCAGCGGCTCAGCCTCTCTCGAGCAGTATCGTGAGCTGCGCATAATTCGAGATCTGCATCAATGGCGACTGCTAGAACCGTGAAGGACGTTTCACCCAATGAATTTGTCAAGGCCTACGCCGCACACCTCAAGCGTTCTGGCAAGGTATAATTATATATTTTAATGCAAATGTACTTAATTTGTATAAATTTATGTATACTTGTTCATAGGCAAACATATCATTTTTAATTGATTTATTTTCTCTGTCTAGATTTTTTCTTTCTACGTGTATTTATATGGTACTCTATGTATTTGGTTTCAGGATATTTTTTATCTTATTATTTTATAATAAATGTACATTGTAGTGATGTTTAGGAGGGAAAATTAGAAATAATTGTGAAAAAGAACTGGGATAACGAAATAAGAGTGTGGGTACTCAGTTTTTGTAGACTAAGTTAAAACCCTCTGGACAAGGCTGTGTTGTCTGTACCGTTTGGTGGCATTATACTGTCGTTCTTTGTTGGTGTATTGTTTATATTCCTGTTAATTGCTGCATGAAAGGAATTGTAGTTTGTGTGCACATGGGATGGAAGTTTGAACAGGACAGTTAGGTTATGGCAGACAGTTAGGTAATGGAAGCAAAGGTTAAGATGGGATTCATCTTTGAATCCCCTAGAGGGATAAAGTAATCATTTGGCCGTTGAAGAAATAACAGTTCCCTCCAGCTAAAGAATAACGGTAGGAAGAAGAAGCAGAGGAAAGGAATAGCATTGTCAAAATTTCCCATCCTTGTTACATTTTAACTTCTTAGCTTGGTTGAGGGAGATAGTTGTGTTACTATTATGGTTATTTCCCTTGCAAATCAGACCTTTAAAGAAGACCATGTTGAATTGTTTATTTTGTTTGTGTTTTTCTTTTTATGAAAATATCAGCTGTATTTATACACAGCCCTGTTTTGAGAAATCCCAGACAAAACTATGACACGGGGTTGGGGATCTTAAACTCTTTTTGCCCTAATGATTATACTCTTACTGTTTCTGAAAAATAGATGGAGCTTCCTGAGTGGACAGATATTGTGAAAACTGGAGTACTTAAAGAACTTGCTCCTTATGATCCTGATTGGTACTATATTAGGTCAGGTAATCCTCATGCCCACCATCTCTCTGCTCATATGCTTGCGGGTCTTTTTTAAATTTCAACTGCTCAGGTTGTCTATTTGGGGCATGACTCTTCTGATATACAGATGTATTTAACCCTTCAGTTGCTAGAAATCAAGTAAAATTTCATTTTTGGTAGTTCAGTAATACCTTGAAACTTAAATCCAAACCAATATCATGTTCTAATACCTAGAATTTCTACTTTGAAGATTAACTTCTTAATTTGCTAAATGATAACTTCACCTTGAGATTAGTATCAATATTTTGTTGTCTATCGTGCATTGCAGCTTCCATGGCAAGGAAGATATATTTAAGGGGAGGTCTTGGTGTTGGTGCCTTCCGGAGAATTTACGGTGGGAGTAAGAGGAATGGAAGTCGTCCACCCCATTTTGGCAAAAGCAGTGGGTCCGTTGCTCGCCACATTCTTCAGCAGTTACAGAACATGAACATTATAGATATGGATCCGACGGGGTAAGTTTAATATCTTCAGCAGAATTTAATGTTGTGTTTTTAATGACTAATTGTCATAAGATGCTGCCTGTAATCATAAGTGGAGGGTGACACTGATAGTTAGCAAATTGAGTCTCAAATAGAAAGGGGTGTGGAAGGTTATTATTATCGTTCATGATATTAACCTGTATTAAAGAAAAAAATTGGCTAAAGTTTTTTCCTCGGAAGTTATCAAGTTTTTTCTCCAAAGTTGAAAAGTATATGCTGCAGTTTTAGAAAATTCTTTTTATAAGATTATATGCTTGTCATTTTATGGAAAAATGCAGCAAACTTGATTGCTATCACGACACTAATTTTGCTTGGTTAACAGTGGAAGAAGAATCACGTCTAGTGGGCGACGGGATCTTGACCAAGTTGCTGGAAGGATTGCTGTCGTTGCACCTTCATAGATTATATAGGCTTCAGTTTAAGCTTGTTGAAGAGAGCTCTTAGAAAAAATCTTTGAACAAATTTTGGCTGCAAATGTTATGTATGCATCGTCATGATGTTTTTGACTCGGTAATTTCTATAAAGTTTCATCCAGGTGTACTGTTGGAGCAAATAGTCGCATTTTGATTTTGATTTCATTTATGAATGTGATTTTGTTGGATTATACAAGTCTGTCATTTTACTTGTGTTATTAGATTGTTGTTAGTAAAGTTTCATCCAGGTGTACTGTTGGAGCAAATGTCAGTTGAATGTCATCGATCGGGTAACTACTAGAAATTGGTGTACCTTGTCGATCTTCAAAAGTGAAGTCACTGTCGCATATTATTCGTGGAGTAAAATTCACTCGACTTGAAGATCATTTCTATTAGGATCGTGCAGTCTTCGTGCTAAGTTCTGCAAGCTTTCCAATATCTTTGTATGATGAGGGTGACAAACTCCGTCCATTGAACAAATTATGTCATGATACGAGTATGACTTGCACAAGTTACGAATTTATTACTTTATATGAATGATAAAGAACTTCATGAATGACAAATGCCAGAAATAGAAAAGTAAATAGGACTCCCATCAACTACTTCACTGTAATGCTTTTAGTGATTATATGGTGTTTTAATATGGACAAATTAGAGTGTTGCACATGCTTTACCTTAACTTTCTTAAAATGTCACTCAAATACTGTAGTGAACCAAATTTTATCTTACATTGCTGGGTTAAAGTTCAGCATGCAGGTTTAAAATTATGTGGACACCTCCTATAAGTCGATTTTAAGGATGAGTTTTATCCGACTCGACTGTTACAATTGGTATCAGTATAGGCACCCATTTGGGGATGACCCTATCTGTGTATGGGGAGACATCGGAGAGGCTATTCTTAGTATAAGATTGATTTTAGGAAGTTACCTAACTGAGAAATGAACTTCCATGGACGTTAATCTGAAAAGAGGAGAAGAATGTCCAAAGTTTATAAAATACAGCAGTTATCACCTACAATTTCAAGCCCGACTTCCATAAATACCCTTCTTTTTTTCCTCATAAAACTCTAATGGCCTGTTTGACTCACCATGAATTCCATGGAAAGTGGAAATTGAATTCAACACTCCACATTTTCCAGTGTTTGATTGCACTATTTTACCCTGGAATTGAATTTCCAACATTTCCCTCCACACGCCTGAATTCCTTCTTTTTGAGGAATTCCAATTCTTATGGGTTTGGTGAGAATTGGAATTCCACGCAACAATTTATTTTATTTTTTTATTTTTTTTTGGGGTGGCAATGGAACCAAATTCTAAGAATTATTGTAAAAAAATATTTCCATCTTATTGACAATTTTCATGTAAAACAAAGTCAAACGAATATCAAAAGATAGATGATTTTCTTGATTATTTTTATTTTTTATTTTTACAACGAAAACAAATTTCATCCCCAATACCAGTAAATTATATCCCTTTAATTGATAATTTTTATGTAAAATAAAGTCAATGAACATCAAAAAACACTTTTATTTCAATATTTTTCACATGGAAAATTATACCAATCAAATACAATAATTTACAATTCTCAGAAAAACAATTTCTAGGTAATTTAATTCCCTAGAATTCGTTTTCTTTCCACCTAAATTCCATCTTTGCAATCAAACGGACCCTAAATATACTTTCTCTCCCTTTGGTCATTGAACACTCGCCTCAAGAAGTTTCAAATAACACACTTGCATTGGTTGTTCTTTCAATGTAAAGTTAACTAGTGGAAAAATCGATGGAATCCATCCATTTAGAAGAATGCCACCAATTTATCCAAGGTTGTAGATACAAATGTTGGAAAAAAAGGGGTTTAGGAAAAAAGTGGAAAAGAAAGAAAATTTTAGGAACATTTTATGCAATTTACCCATACGTTTATTATGAGTAAATTGAACAAACAATGCCTGAGCCAATACTAGTAGGATCTATTCTAGAGTATATCTGGTGAAGTTTAATAATGTAATAGTAAGTATTGCTTATACTATTTTTTGTTACTTTCTAAATTATAAAAAATATACATATATTCTAAAAGCAACTTTGATTTTTTAACTAATAAATAATTATTTACTTTAAACAAACTTATCCATTTTAAGCTAGACTAAAGCCACAGTGACAACCCTCTGGACGTCCAAGGGGTTGTGTGGGCGCCCCCCACTCCAGGGGATTGTCACCCAACAATAATTCTTTAAGCTGAACAAAAATACTCATTGGATTTCAGATCTCTGTCATGGTATGAATTTAAGAATGGGCCAAAATCCAAGTCACCTTCATAATGGTAGTTTACTTTTGTAAATTATAAACACTTATTTCATTTTTTAATTGGAGACTGAGGGATTAATCATTGAAAAGAAATTTTAAATTTCATGCTTTTGATTTGAATAGCCATCATTTTATGGTGGCTTAAATTTCACTCAAAAGCTTTTGCAGCCCATAGTCATAAGCAAGGCTTTAGGTTCATTCTTAATTTTGAAGTTAGCTATTTTGCTTGTAATTAATACTTCAATTCAAGTTGCATTAATATCAAACTCTATTTAAGCCCTTGTTTTTACATTCATTTATAATCACACGTTTTTAAAAAAAAAAAAAATCACCTTTTTTTGTAATAATTTTTTTTTTTTTAATACGTTCACAAAAAAATAAAGAACCATAATCAAACAAACGTTAAATTTCCAAGGTTGATTTACCTGTTGCCTTTCACATAACAAGTTTTCTTTAGTTTTTATAAAGTTGTGTACCTTTCTAGGGAAAAGAGGAAAGCAACACTTAACAATGTTCTTGACCCTTTTTTTTTTTTTTTGGGAAAGATTTCAACTAGATTAGAGTTTAAATTTTACACATATATTGTATCATATATATGCTACGTTCCTGTCTACAAAGCAAGCCACATAACAATCAGCTAGCAAAAAGTCACGACAAGATCAACACTCTACTTCGCATCGCCTCTCTCTCAACTGTTATCTGAGAGATACATCACATTTCAACTGCACCATACATTCGAGACAATTGACATCTGTTGTAAAAGGTGATGTTTTGTCAGTCACGGTTGAAACTGATAAGCGAGTTGTTGGAAAGATGGTATATGTCAAGCATTTAAATATAAAATTTTCGCCTATAAATACTTGATCCTCTCTCCTTTGAAGGTAATCTAGTCTTAAACTTATGACTTGAGGTAAAAAATAGTAATAATATTCCTTTTTTCGTCTGTATTGAGCATTCGAGTGCACACAATCGTTGCATCCATTGGAGCTTCGTTATGCAATCTAACATGGTGTTTAAATGTACAAGTAACATGTATGCGAACCGAGAGGAATTGAGATCTACTAAAAATGAGTCTCGTCAGTTATGTAAATAATATATGTATGTACAATAGTATATCCACACAGTACGTCTTTACTGTCTAGGCAAAACAAGTGCACACAAAATATAAGTTAAACGTGATAAAACTGAAATGTGATTAAGACATAACGTTATTGCACTTTAATCCATAAATTCATTCTCATTTAAAACACCTATTTTGAGAAATTGAAAAATAATATTTAATTTGTATGAGGTACTTTGTCATTTTTTTAAGGTAACATAAATTTAGGTCCCGTTTAATACACATTAATGTAAACATGAGAATGAAAAATATAGCTGTACAAGAGATAGAAAGTCAATTGTTAATAGGAAGCGAATTTAAAAATAACTGTAATATTGAAATTAAAGGAAGAAATGAAGAATAAACAGTTATCCGATGAATTCTAAGTCATCTGACATCTTGGGGGCCTAGGAATTTAGTTTATACCACATATTTTTCATCAAAATAGATTTTTCAACAGTAATTCGACTCCATTTCAATCACATATTTTTTTAGTAAAATAATATTATATGCAAATTTAAAAATTTTCCTTATTTTTTTAACCATACATTCTCTATCATGACACTATTTCAAAATGCATTTTTGAAAATAATGGGGCTCAAACAACCTATATTCATTTCTTTTTTGGCCTTTCATATATTCATCAAATGACGCAAAAAGTATCATAAATACGTGGTTTCAAATTTATGTTTATTTCTTTTTTAGTCGTTATTTGGTATTGGTTAAAATTTAGAATTTAATTTAAGTTAAATTTAACAATCAATTTTAATTACATATTTTATGAAATTTACAACTTTTTAACCATACATTACATCAACTTTTATTAAAATCTAGTAAAAATTTAAACCTATGTTTCATGATCATTATTTAGGAAAAATAATATTTTGAATAGTGACCTTTAAAACAATGTGTGATTAAGAAGTAAGATTTTTTTTATTTTGCAGAATATTTTATTGTGTGAATTTGTGATTGAAAATGAGTACGAGAAAAAAATCAAATAATGATTATCAAACGAGGACTAATTTTAATCCCCACCAAAAAGGGGGCTTAGTTTGTCAAAGAAGTCATTTTCATGTTTTATATACATTTTCCTAAGATGATTTAGCCCTATTTCATGGGGATTAAAATTTAGTTTTTAATGAATTTTAATAAACATTGATAAAATACGCGATCGTTTTTCTCTTAATGGAGATACTTTAAATAGTTTATTCAACTAATCTAGATATTACCACTTTTTGGCAAGAAAATTATCTTCCTAAAATCTCTATTTTACCCTTATACCCCACCCCCACCCATTAAAATCAAATATTTAGTAGATTTGACAAAAATTGATAAAATGTGTAGTTGTAAAGTTATATATCATATAAAATATATGGCTAAAATTAATTAACTTCTACTTATATTAAAATCTAAATTTTAATCGTTACTAAACAAGGACTTAGCTCGTCTGCCAACAATTAATTTCACTCTTTTTTTAATATGTTTTTAACCACATATTTACATAATAAAATATTTTACACGTAAGTGAAAGATTTTTTCTTACTTTTTAATCACACATTCTCTTAAAAAAATATTATTCAAAACTATGTTTATTCCAATTAATGATTGTTAAAAAGGGGCTTAAATTCTTTCTTCACTTCCCAAATGCGCTTCATATATTATATTATAATATTCTATTTTTATCATCGGAAAGGTTTAGTTTCAAAATTTTATTCTATTTCCAAAATTTACACCAGCCAAAATATCTAAAGAGGGATATTATTGTCCTTTCAATGAAATTCCAAGGCCAGCTGATGGTTCCTCAGCGACTATTAAAGGA